TCTACTATTCTTTTGTGCAGTTCATTTCTTGGTGTGGGTGGGTAGGAGGAGCTGGCAGGGACTTGCCAAGTTGTCATTATTGTCAACTCATAAAGGAGCTGATCTTTTTAACAAGAGCACCTTCCTCCTCCCCTTGATTTCTCAAGCTCAGAGCTTATGTGTGTGTTCATGCCTACATGCCTTCATATGTGGCGTGGTCTTGCCAAAGAGGTGGAGACAAAGGCAGGATGTGATGCAGCACTTCCTCATTCATCCGTTGGATCAAGCACAGTGCAGAGAGCGCCACCTCTTGTTGTATTGTTACCACGACAGCAACGTTCTGGTAAAATTCCATTCCCCTCGATGAGGAAAGCACAAGTGCAGACAGGCCAAAGTGAAAATACTTGATATGATCTAAGGAGCCTCATGAGTGTTATTGGGAAATCCAGTCATGTGTGGGTTAGAACAAGATTCTGCAGTATTGTTGTGTTTAACAGCTGAGTTGGTTTATTCTGTAGGTTGTTATTCTTTTAGATAAAAAATATTGAATACTGAAGGACCCCACCCATGCCAACTTAAGGTTTGAAGGCCTCCTGCTCCTTAGAAGTTGACAAATCCACTTAAAAGCTCTTAAATCTAGCCATGCAATATCTTACTGCTATCACAATGTGCACTCTGATCTGGAAATGTAAACATTAACACCGCTAAAAGCTTCCTAGAAGCTTTAACTTCCATTTGGAGCTTTAAAGGCTGCAGAGTAAAGAGTTACCAGCCCTGGAGCTACAGTATTATCCATAGAGACACTGGTGCAGTTTTCCCTAAGGGCATTTCATCGCTATCTGTGGGAAAAAACATGAATTTTGAAAGCAAATTTTTCAATTAAGACTCACCAGGGTGATTTCCATCCCTAACATGGAGAAGTTCCATTGTACCCACAGCTGAGTCAAAAGTTAATGGAGCATGCATAGGTGTGCATGGGTAAAACATAAAAAAAAAAAAAAACTAAAAGAGTAGGAGACTGAACAGTAAGAATAGATTTTAAATGTAATAGAAATTTGGTAAAATGGCAAAAAAATTCATTCTTTGATGAAAGAAATGTGCATCTGAACGATGCCTTTAGGTCATAATGATGCAAAATCGACTTTAAAAGTCGAAAAAGAAATCTTTTATGATATTTATTTAAATTGAAATTTGATGAGTTTTCCGGAATAAACCCGAGGATCAAAACTATTTTAATGTTACTTTTTCGTTCCATGTAACAAATATCACCTTTTGTTCATTTTAAACTGACAGTCATTTTACATTGAAATCACCTGACAAAGATGTGAAAATGCTTTAATTTTTTAAAAGATTTATCAGTAGAAGACAAATAAAAACATGAGAGATGTCGTCTTCTCCAGCAGAATCCACTGCCTGGATTTTGGCAGCCAAGGGTGTGGCTCTAAGGATGAGGGTGTCTAGAAATGCAGAAACATACATAAAGTCATGATGTCACAACATTGCCATCAATTTCCCATCCTATAATGGCCAAAAGTACAGGTAAAGTAGGCGGTAATTGGTATATATAGCATTTTTTTTTATTTCAGAGACACTAAAGTGCTTCATTCATTCACCCATTCACACACTGATGGCGGGAAGCTACATGCGAGCCACAGCTGCCCTGGGGCACACTGCCAGAAGCGAGGCTTCTGTACACAGGCAGGACACAACTGTAGAGATGGACGGACCAAGACAAACTTCTGCATCCTACGCAATTATAATAATTTCGAGACTTTTAGGCTGCTCAGAGCCTACAAAGGTGCTGCAGATGACAGTACCCTGACTCCTTTCTGCTGAAGCAGTGAGCATGCATTTCAAAACTAAACATGTTTTAGACAATATTTTTTTCTCCATTCCTGGCAGGGCTACTCTGATTCAGAGAAGGAGGAGGAGAAGAAGATCGGGGAGGAATACAACCCAGAGAAAGATGATGATTCATTCACATAAGAAGAAATGCCTCGAGCTGACAGACACTTTCCTGTTAAAAAACAGTGAGAGGTATGTGCAGGATAAATACAGTCTTTCTGCAATGAATGGAGAGAAAAGATTCGAACATTCATTGATAATGAATGTTCAAATCTTGCATGTACATTTGTGCATAAAAGCAAAAACAGACTAGTTACAATAATTGGATACTATGCAGAAAAAAACAGGGATGTAAAATCTTATCAAGGCTTTTGCGTAGAGTTTAACAGCAGCTTGAAGGAACTATCTTTGAAAACGCTTTTTTGTGCACCTAGGGTGCAGGAGTGTATCATGGAACAAGCTCTCCAGCTTTGACACAGCTTTATGCATGGTGTCAGAGATGTTATTTTTTTTTTACCAGAGTCCTTCTGTCTCCCACAACTTGAAGTGGATTTGGAGGACAGAGGGGACTTTCCTTATTAGATTATCTCCCTTCCTCCTCTCAGCTATGATGATCCTGATGATGATCCAGCAAATTGCTCCTTAGAAGATGGCTGGTGCCACCGAGTTGACAAACTGGTTGCATCTGTTAAATTGTAAACTGTGATTCAGGTACTCATTGTACATTTCAAAATTTCAGATTCTACTTCTTTAAGATTTTTCATGATACATTTAAAAAAGCAAAAAGCAGTAAATTAGCCTTATTTGATGTGTTAATAAGATCTGTAAAGTGTCTTGAGATGACAAATGTTGTACATAAACAAACTGAATTGAATTAATAGCATAGTGTATTTTCTGTTCATGAACAATCAATTGGATAAAACCTCTGATGAGGTTAATAAAAAATTAAGGTGAATATAAATCAATATGAAGATACATTTTAGTTTTATAATATATTTCGATTTTATTAAAATAATAAGGAATACTCTCTTAAAAACGCAGAAATTTGATCAAAATTGGGAAAATTATCAAAACTGATTCCAAGGACTTTTAAAGATTGCACAGAAGCCCTGTCTGTAATTCTTAAAGTTGACTAACCTATTGTAACATTCTGACTAATATAAATTAAAATTTTATATTGAAACTCTGAAAATAGTGGCAGAGTATGTATTTGCCAAGAGAATCTGTAAGATATCAGATTTTTTTTTTTTTTAAAGGACTGACATTAGCATTAAACTGCTTTAAATGTCAATATTGTTATTTTCACATAAAGATGACTCTACATCAGCATGAGAGTCTGAAATGCAAAAAACAGTCATAGAAAAATCTGGGAAGCTGTCAATTTAATAGCTACAAGAGCAAATTTCTGCCATTTAGTATGGCATGGGGGATCTGTGCTTAGAAATTAATGAAGAAATAAGAGGAGTCGGTCTGCTGAACATCCCAACTATAGCTAAACAACTGTCAGCAAGGAGTTCAACATAGAAGTACAGAATTCTCTTACATAATTTCATTTTATGCGGTTTATTAATTTAGAGTTACAACACATAGCCTACTACCCCAAACCACTTTGGAAAAAAAGTAAATTATCGAACAATGCATTTAAGTTCTGTTTTCTATTATAATTACTAAAAGGAAAAAAAAACAAAACAAAAAAATAAATAGATTGCATCAAGTCTTGATATGCAGAAGTCCCTCCTCCTGGATGAGCATGTAGCCACAGTGGACAGTTGCTTGCATTGTGTTGTTGACCTTGTAGCACTCATTCATGTTCTGAAAGGGGAAAGAAAAACTCCCCTTTAACAGAAGGAAACCGCTCTTAGAACCAGACTCAGTGTTTTAGTGGCCATCTGATTATCAAGTTGGGGTTTGAGGGGAAACACAAACACGGAAACCTACAAAAGCTCAAATCCAGAAGAACTTTCTCGGCTAAAAAAAGTCAAAAGGTAACCTGGGCAGTGTTTGCCCAGTGGTTAGAGCTGTGTGCTTGTGCTCTGAAAAGGTTGCAAGTCACCGTTTCGATCCCTACAGCCGGCACTCTAGGTCTCTGAGCAAGACCCTTAACCCCACACTGCTCCCCGGGCGCCACACAACGGCAGCCCACTACTCCCCAAGGGGATGGGTTAGAAGCAGAGTTAATATCTCCATTGTGAGATCAATAAAGTTCTATTTCTAATGGCTGTACTATGTCCTTCAGTGTTTTTATGTAGAGGCAGAAGAACATTGTTTTATCTTATAAGTGAGATACCAAGTCACATTCCCCTTCAGATCAGATAATACCTATCTTTGTCTATCTGTCTCCTCTGTTGTGTATTCCTGTCATAAATCACAGATCTATAATTACATGAAACTGGTTTGCTGACTCTAACAGCCTTATAACAACCACCTGCAAGGTGTTCACTGCAATGCTTTGACGTACAGAAGAAAATCAGTCCTGACAGCCAGAGATGATTCTAAACATTCAATCATCTTTCTCTTTCATAACATATTATTGCACCACAGCAAAAAAGACTTGTCTCGTCTTGCTATGAGATACCTTCTCGAATTCCTGTCTTGGGGCCTGTTTTCTGCTTTTGCATTGCAGCTACAAGTTTCTGCTTGCTGTATCCAAACATTTGGTCCATGGTTCACGTAGAGGCTCCGACGTAGTCATACTTATCCAGAATAAATTAGGTTACATTCATATATTTAGAGATTATGTCTCATTATCTCTTTTCATTGACAGCTTTAAAGGGTTGACGTCTACACAGACTGAGTAATCCATCTTTGTTTACAGTGACACATAAAATAAACAGAAACCTTTGTGCTTCATGTGGGAAGAACCTGAAATACTGAATACACACAGCAAAAATCCTTTATGAAAAACTATAATCTTGCAGTTCATATTTTGATGAATAACAGAGTGAAAAACAAAGAATCAAGGATCTTATGTAATACATTTGCAAATCATATATTTAAAAAGTCTGTTATGACTGAGAACTTAATCCAGATTGGCTCATTATACTCAAACTGGCTTCATCAAGGATAATATCCTCATTAAAATAGATTTGAGTCATTCTGCGCACAATCTTTGTTAGACTTAAGTATGAAAGTCAATATGAACCAATAGCACCATCTAGTGGTAAAAACCGTTAGGTGTTTTTATGTTGTTGTTTTTTTTCATTCACAACATGGCTGCTCCCTGTTTTGCGGATTTCTATGCAGGAAGAAGCTGCAAACCATGAGGAAAACCCGGTAATTTTTACCATAGATATATTTAAATCTGCATCAGTAAAAAAGACGCGCACTTTTGGAAGAGCGCTCTTTGCTCTGCATTCACGGAATTATGCCAAAACATTCTCCCATATTGAAACTTACCATTGTGTTGTTTGTTTACCAGTTTACCGAGTTGAATTAATACATTTCACAGCTGAACAAAAGGGGAGAACTTCAGAGGATCGTATTAAATTATACTAACTGAAACATTTCTTTAAAAAAAAAAACAGGAGGAAATGCAAATTAAAAAGAAAGAAAACAGATGAGTTGTCAGACTGTAATGATTAGTATTTCTTTGATGCTTTACATCTATCCAGGAACTCTGACTCAGTCCAAGACTTTTGCGCTTTCCAGAATTTAAAACCTCTGCAGGCTTTTACAAACCGGGAGGCAGTAGCATGACCCAAGGACCATTATAAAACGGTTTATCTCCCTGCTATCTTATTGGCATTCTGGCAGTAGCATTTGAATATAAAGCAGGGGCCCCTCAACGAATTTGGGGCCCACTGAAAGACAATTCATATTGCCTCCCTGCATTTCTTGTAATTTCACGGGGTGAGTTGATTTGTCATTTACTGCTGAAAACCAAGTGAGGACACAATAATAATTTATTTTACCTCTGCATTTTTCTTATATCCTAAAAATATAGCAGAATATATATTTTGGGGCCATCCTCATTCATCAAGACACTTTTACAATCATCTAATCTGCAAAAAAATAGCGTATTCTTCTATTTTTGACAAGAAGCCATAAATTAAAGCAGTATTTTTAGACTGTATTAAGAATGATAAGAAAAAAGAGACATGTTGCTTATATTTGCTTATGAGAAAACCCTGATATTTTTAACATGGGTGTGTACACTTAAAAAAAAAAAACAGAATAAAGCTCTCAGTTATCAAATCCAAAATATATGAAGGTTATAAGGGCATTTGCATCACCATACTGGAAAGGCTGTTCCTGTTCTTGAAAGGTAATGGGTTGTACAGTACAAGCAGCATATATACTAAACTAAGAGACTTTCATTGAACAAACGACCGAATTACAATAAAATGTTGCTTAAACAGGAGATTTCTAAATAGAGATAACCTGTAGTGACACTTTTTCAGGATCACTCCATCACTCCTCAAACCACCTATGAAGCAGAACCTAAATTAGTTGGTAAAAAGTGGTACCTATTGTACCTCATCTGCTGTCTCAAAGAACCTTAGATAACAGTGGTACAGCCATAAGTTACCTTCCAATTTCGAGTGAAAGAGATCACAATCTTTCACATACATATAAATATACCAGACAGATATGCAAAAATATGTTGTAAAAGGCCATACTCTTTAATCTTACCAAGGGAGCATATGGATCTTGATTAAAGTGGCCCAACATGAAGCCTTGAGAAATCCTACATTGGATTTTTGTGAGCTTTTTTGTGTTTTTATATCTGATTTTAGTGCTTTTAAATGAGAGTTGTCCTGAGCTGTCAAGTTTAGTTTGTTTAGGCTGTTGTCATCGTATGATGTTGTAACTTTCAGCTTCCTCTCTCTATAGACACAATGGAAACAAAGGAAGTGATCAACCTTGCTCTTCAGCTACAGAAGTTAGCTGCAGAGCAAAGCTTCAGGAGCATCATGACCCTGCTTGATGATCTTGATAAGGCGAATATAACTCCGGAGCAGCTGGAAACAACGGATATCGTCAAAGTCCTTTATAAACTCCTAAAAACTTGTTCGGGGAGTAGTGTGAAGAAAAAAGCAAGGAGTTTGTTGTCAAGGTGGAAGAGGCAGTACAGTAGAGAGAGGCAGGAAGACAAATGTTTGGGTAAAAACACAGGTTCTGGAAATTCCTGTGGAGTTTCTTTAGAACCGATAGGGGATAGTAGTGTTTCCAGGGATTCTCTTCCAGATTTTAAACAGATTTCTGGAGCTAGTAAGGGAAGTGCATCAGAACGGGGATGTCACAATTCCACTGGAGTAAAGACCCCCAGTTCCTGTGACTCTGTGAGAACCAAATGTGTTAATCTCCTGCTTGCCGCCCTCCACCCTGAGCCTCCTGATCAAGACAAAGCACCAGAGCTCGCTAAAAGCATCGAGCAGCACCTCCACAACCTCCACGGAGCCAGCCATCTCAAATACAAAGCCAGCATAAGGTGCAAGCTGGCCAATCTAAGGAATCCCAAAAATGGCCACCTAAGGGCAGGACTCCTTTGTGGCTCTCTGGCTCCTGAGGCTTTCGCCCGAATGTCTGTAGAGGAGATGGCCAGTGCTGAACTGCGTCAACTACGGGAGGAATACTCGTCCCAAGGAGTGAGCGAGAGGCAGCTCCCCCAAGGGTTGGAGGGTACGCCGACGAAGAAGATCCACTGCAAAAAATGTGGAGGATCAGACTGCAGGGTGACACAGGTGTCTAGAGGAGCCCTGTTTTTGCCTGCGTGGGTGAGGCGTGGTGGCCCTGATGAGGACGCAATGACCTTTGTGACTTGTAGCCGGTGTGGCCAGCAGTGGTACCACAGCAGCTGGGTGTGCCTCTGAATCAAAACAACAGGTTATTTAACAGCAGTGATTGCTTAGTGATTATCTAAAGGGGGGATTTTAATAAAAACATCAGATGGTTACAGATAATTGATTCTATGTAAACTTTGTTTGCATTTTCTTCTTAATCTGAAACTGAGAATAAGTTTGGCTGCTTGAATAAAAGTCCAAACAGTGCTGCTTCATCTTTACTAAAGTAAAGTCACTAAATTATGAAGCTGCTGCCCGAAACCACAGCTTCTAAAATCAGCCAGTCATCATGTTCCCTATGATTCATTTCCTGCCTTCTTCAGGTCTAATATCTAAGAGGTTTATAGACTCAGAGTGGTTGCTATTACTAACAACTTCCTGATAATGTTTGTGATGTAGAGGTCTAAAATGCCTTAAAGTGTTCACATCTCTAAAACCGCTTTTGTCCCATTACAATGTGTCTTCTACGATTGCCCCCCTCGTCAAACCTCTTCCACTGTTGCCCTAAACTAAACAAACACAAAACTGCCACAGATAAATCATGTTATGCAAAAACCAATAAAAACTGCCAAAATGTTGATTTCCTTTTACAAAAACTAAAGTTAACCATTCTCTAATAGATGTTTCACAACTTAGCCCTGTTTTTAAGATGTCAATAATCAGTGTACGATAAGTATATACATTATTCCTCTATATTCTTTTCTCAATCTAAGGTGATCCTAATGCCTTTCTTCTTAAGAGTCCTAAGGCATTAAAAAGGAATAATGGTTGTTTATATTTTGGCCAAAATTTAAATGAATAAGTGTTTGATACCGAATAGTTCAGAAGAAAATCTTAACAGTATAATTATGAATAATAATGAACTTCAGTTTAGCTACCATCTTCAGTGTTAGTAGCTTCCTCTGGTGTTCTGCAGTATTTAAACTGTACTTGTGCTGTGGTGGACCAACATGATTAGTTATATATGGAGATACACAGTGTATATAGAGACATATGCATGCATTGTATTGTTTTAAAAAATCAAAAAGACGAAATAAATATATTCGATATTAAAATATTTGATAAGAAGGCAGGGAAAACTGATAGTACCATCTGGTTGGATGAATAAAGGATGCAGAAAATTGATACATTCACATAAAAAGCTTTTCCAAATCTTTTTTTTTTCTTTTGCATGAAAAGATTTTTTAATTACTTATCACAAATACAATTAAACGAAGCCTTTGTTTAAACATAAAGTCTCCTTTTTATCATAAATCCAGCTGTCTGTCTGGAGTATTTTTTCTGGCCCACATTAGTATGCTTAAATCTGCATTTATAGTTTTTGGGTTGTTCCATTATCTTCAAGTTGCCGGGTTTCTCCAGCCTCTTAAAGGTTTTCTCTCTATCAACTCTTACAGGCCCATTATGCCACATTATGATACAACCAAAGGTGAATTGTGTGTGCCAGAATGAGGGTAAAGAGTTGTACAAATCTCTAATAATGGAAGTCAAAAATGCCCCAATCAGCTTACAATAGCCCATTCAGTTGCTACAAATGAGACATGTGATATCAGAGCATGGTAAGCATGTGAGGCAGTAATACCATATTCCACACCCAGTGGTTTGAAGTTACAAAGATATCAGGGAATACATCAGTCAAATCCTGCCATTTTCTGTTTACACATGGCTTATCTTCTGGTTTATTTGTTGAATTAAGAATTTCACCCTTTTATCACTGAGGTTTCTAGCAATATTCCTGCAAAGAAGCATCAAATAAGGAAAGACTGTCCCAAGTTTTGTAAGATTATTTGCTGAAAAACTGAAAATAACAGAGTAGAATTTTGTTTTCTAATTTGATGCACATAATATCTTCAAAACTTTTAATGGGAAGTTGTTTCCAAGATTAATGACCTAATAGATGTCACATGTATACTTTTATTTGCTGTTGAACAATCTGTACACTTCTTTTGAATGGCATAAAATTAGCATTGAGCAAATTTAGGAGAGTAGCTGCTCTTCAAGAACCAGTTTATTACTTATTATAAAAGCAACACACTTCTGTCTTAGATGAAGACATGCATCCTTGCATGTCCACATTTTTAAATGGGGCTACGAGAAGGCAGTGTCATTGGTACACTTTTATTTACAAGGCCCTTCTTGGATTACTACCCTCTTACATTTGTACCTTACTCACACAGAAAAGCATGGCTTCTTATGCCCTGAGATCCAACGATCAGCTGTTGCTCACTTTTTCTTTTTTCCGTACAGAACTAGGGAAGAATGCCTTTAGCCACGCAGCTCCTGGTGCGTAGAATTTGAAACTGGAAACTGCAAGTTGACTGAGTTTTTATCCTTAAATGCTTTTAAGTTAAAAGTGAAAGAATTTGAAGCAGCCTCAATGATCTGTAATTGTTTTATTTTAGATGTTTTTTTATGTACTTGTCAGGTATTTTAATGTATCGATGTTTCTTATTTAACTTTGCTGCCTCTTGGATAGGAATTCCTTAAAAAAGAAGTTTTTATTCTCAATGGGATTTCCCCCCCTGGTTAAATAAAGGTTAAAAAAAGAAAAAAGAAACAAGTCTAAGAAAAAACTAAATTATTTTAATGGAAAAAAATACATTTAGGAAAATCCTTTAAAGTTGCATTAATTGGCAATACTTTCTTTTTAAAGGTATAGTGTCACAAAAACTCCATTAATAATGTTTTTTTTTATTTTTTACTTTTCTTTTAATAACTACGAAGAACAATTGCAGATTCAATCTCCACCCACCCCTGTGAAAAAAATGTGTAAATCATGCTACATATGTTGTGGATTATGTGGAATCATAGAGGAGGCGGGCGTGACCGTCAGTCGGTCATATGAGCGTCATCAGCCGATCCTGTGCTCCACAGCAGCTGGGACCCACTATAGGCAGCACCATGCCTGTGCTGGATAATTGCACTTTACCAGGATAGACAAGAGGATGTAAACGCCTGGAGCCATACAGTAAGCCATATAAACACAGGTACTTATACCAAACAGATACAATATGAGTGTTGTTAACAAAATAGCTATTTTCCCGGAGTTTTAATCGGTTACTAAACTCGTAAGAGTGACGCGCCTGGTACTTGTATTATCGGACAACAGTTTGCGGTAAAGTCTCCGTAATAAGATCAGTTCCAACCTTTGATCTGCCCTGAAGTTTTGTCAAAATCATTAACTGGAAGCAACGTAATAGTTTTGGATTGATACGTTGCCTATCTTGATGTGGTTTTATTCAGTTCACAACTTTTTTTCTACCTGTTTGCAGTTTGAGGCAGTAACTATGTTTCTGCATGTCCTTAGGCCGGCCAGCTGGGGGCGACAAAGAGCCCTTCAGTTTTCAGGCTTTTGTTTTAAAGATTTGATTTCTAAAAAGAGAAGTAAAATATAATAGATAATAAATACATTTTCCTTATTATATTTTTATATAGAAGCAGAATATTATTATTATTATTATTATACTTTTGTAACCATGGTTAAATTGCTGGGGATGATATATATATATATATATATATATATGTGTGTGTGTTTGTAGTCGTTTATTCAAAGATAAAGAGTAATAAGCCATTTTCACGAATGTGAATATATGTGAAACACAAAATTGTTCAATTTTCACCCTTCCTCACAACCTCTACAAGTCTGCATTGAAATGCTACACCAGACAGGCAAAATAAATCAATAAACAAAATTAAAGTCAAAGAAATGACCCCATTTCTGCATTATATATTTATTATTTATTTACCTTTTAACCATTTTGTGATATTTGATGAGTGGAAAAACCTATATTAATCTGTTTAAATATCTTACTGTCATTTTAAGAATTTCAACACTGGTTTATCAGTAAACTGTAAATCTTTTTTTATCTTGAATGCACCAAATACATACATTTAAGCATTGTAGTACTTGAAGCTCTGTAATTAAATGTTGCTATTTAAATTGGGCTGGGAAAAAAAAGAAAAAAAAACTTTTAGAGATTTCTTATCCTAATAGTTAACCACCTACAGACCACTAAACATTAACCAGGATGTTAACCTCCCTGGAAACCACTAAAAATAAATCTCATGTGAGCTCTGAGGTGTGTCTCTCAAAACTGCTGGCTGGATTTCAACTCTAACTCAGCTGGGTAAATGATTAGCTTGCAGTTTCTTTAGATTGGAAAATAAAACAGGACTTGTGTTTTTGAGGTCATGCAGTCTGTTTATTAACCACAGTCAGGCCACACAGACACTGTATCCTCTAAATGAAGCACATGACTCCTGATTTTGTTCTGCTGGTATTATTTCTTTAGAGGAAATGACGATATAGCAGCATGTTTAAAGGCTGCAAGAGAACAAGATAATTTATCCTTTGTTACGAAAAGTCATTTCTGATGGAAGCTCATGTGACATTCAACTTTTGTGCGATGAAAAAAAAAAATATTCAGTTTATCCTCTTTCTTTTTTTTATTGATAAACAAACAGGTGCAGACATGTCTCCAAAAATCATTATGGACTGTGGGAACCTCACAGTCAAAGTAGACTGAAACATTGGATGGCTGATATTAGTGTTTTTTTTCTGTATCGTCATTTTATGTGCACTTAGCAGCTTTGCTGTGAGACTTTCTTATCATTGTTTTATTTGATCATGTAAAAAGGGAAATAAAAAGCTATATTTGCTTTAAAAATCGGCTCCCATAAACTAGCAACACATATCTTGGATTGATTCGACTTTACTTTCAAAATAAAAGAACAGTACAGTACTCAACCTCTTATTATGTGGGTCCAGCTTTAATCCCCTGCCTATAGAATTGCATAATTTGCATTACTTAACTTTATTTTAATATAGCAACTGCTTTAAAAGTGATTTGAACTTAAATTACAATCCAAGTTTAACAATCATTTATGTGTAATTATATTTAAAAAGCCACCGTCTTCACTGTGTCTTTTTAGATTCGTTTAAAGTAACTTATCCTACAAACTTTCAATATAAATGTCTTTATCATCAAAAACAGATGGCTTTAATGACTTTAAGTCTTATTTTAATGATTTAAAATTTCAATAAGACATTGTTTTATATTTTTAAACTTTTACATAGGGAAGAAAGTGTTTTATTCTGAAATGCTAAATGGCTAAGTAGACTTATTTTCATTTCCTGTTAATTGCATCTATGCCTTTCCTTTTTGAGTTTATATTTATTGTAACTTGACAGTTAGAATTGTACTAATTAGATCCAGTTAACTGTTCCCAGCATGTCCATTGATTTTTATCATTTTGTTTCTTATGTCATGTCCTTAAAGAACACTTAGTGAATGAATAATTGCATGACATTCTTTCATTAAAGATTATTTAGGCATCAATAAACAACTTAATCAGATTACAGGAATGTTTTTGGTAACGCCTTTGGTTATGATCCTTCTTTCTTCAGAGATTTTAACTTGAAAGGATCTATTTAGTGGAAACAAGGAGGAAATATCTTTTTTTCCGATTACTGTGGAATTTCTGCAGATCCTGTGATCAGCATCCATGTGATTCCTCACACGGATTATTCCACGCCTTACATATTACTCATAGTATATATGAATGGTGCAGCATGCTGAC